GTCTCTTATCCTAAAACTTATTTCATTATAATCATACATCATACATTTGAATATCCAAAACATAATTACATATATCAAAATCTAATTAATAACATATTATATAAAATACAAGAGGAGATAAAAAACGGAGAGAGAGAGAAATTTAGGGGGAAAGAGATATTATTAATCAAAAAGATATAAAAAACAATATAATTGGAAAGTATATAATGTTAAAAAAGTGTGTATATTAATAACCTTAAATAAAATATTTAAATAAGTACACTCATCTCAAAATCCATATTGAGACCTTTGGGTGATAGTGTATCCAAATTAAAAATCCAGCCCATTTCACATTTACTTAGGTTAGAATTAATGTCACCCCCTCTCCAATGCTTAGTCACAGCTTGAATTCCATAAAACTTGATTCCACTTGGGTCTTGATTATGATGTTCTAAAAAATGTAAAGAAACACTATGTGTTTTGAATCCTTTTTTAATGTTGTATATGTGTTCCCGCACCCTCGTGGCCACACACCTGGACGTCTTGCCCACATATTGCAGGCCACAAGGGCATTCTAGCACATACACAACGTTTTTAGTTTTACAGGAAATAAAGTTTTCTATCTTATGTTCTTTTAGGTTAACATTGGAGTGGAAGGACAGTATCTTCCTTTCTTTTATTTTAGATGTTCTACATCCCATACAGCTACCACAGAAATTAAATCCTTTTAATAAAGCTTTCTGACTATTTAAAAAATTATTGTCGGTTTTTTCAATAAAACTCGAAGTTAAAATCTGTTTGAGATTTTGTGCCCCCCTATATATAATTTTTGGTTTCTCCCCTATATAGGGTGCAATGTCATCATCCTGTTTAAGTAAATGCCAATTTTTGTTGAGAATACGTTTTAGTTTAGAATGATTTTTATTAAAATTAAATATTAGTGGGATCGTATCTTCATGTTTGTTATCTTTCTTTTGTTGGTAATTTAACAGTTCTTCTCTTTTTAATTTTCCAATTTCTTGAATTGTACTTTCAAGGTTTTCATTTTTATAGCCTTTTTCTAAAAATTGTCCTTTCAATGTAGAGGCCTGCAGGTTATATTTTTCTATTTCCGAGCAGTTCCTTCTCAGTCTAAGGAACTGACCTCTCGGAATATTATCCAACCAAGGTGGAAAGTGACAGCTCCCCTTTTCAATAAAGCTGTTCACATCCACCTGTTTAAAAAAGGTGCAGGTTTCAATTTTATCTTTCTTTATATAAATATTCAGGTCTAGAAAATCAATCGTTTGGTTATTTATTACATGAGTTAGTTTAATATTCCACTGATTGATATTAAGATAATTTAAAAAATCTAAAACCAATGATTCATCACCTTTCCAAATAAAAAAGATATCATCAATGTATCTTCTATAGAGGACCAGGTTCGCAACCCAGTCATGCTGGGAAAAAACAAACTGTTCCTCCCAGAAGGCCATAAAAAGATTAGCATAACTGGGGGCGAACCTGGTCCCCATAGCCGTTCCTCTACACTGCAGATAAAAATCCCCCTATTTTATTTAAGGTTATTAATATACACACTTTTTTAACATTATATACTTTCCAATTATATTGTTTTTTATATCTTTTTGATTAATAATATCTCTTTCCCCCTAAATTTCTCTCTCTCTCCGTTTTTTATCTCCTCTTGTATTTTATATAATATGTTATTAATTAGATTTTGATATATGTAATTATGTTTTGGATATTCAAATGTATGATTATAATGAAATAAGTTTTAGGATAAGAGACACATAAATTTGAAGAAAGATTAGTGTCAGAACCTCTTTATTCAGACTATATGATTTAAGAACGTTCAAATATGGCTGCAATAGCTTCATGAACTCAATATGAAGTACTTCCGGTCCGGCGAAAAACGTCTGACGTCAGACGCAACGTGACGTGAAAAAGGGCGGGAACGTGGAAGCCGCCCGCCGGAACCAGGAAGTAGGAGGAGGACACCACGACGGAGATGTTTGGGCGCCAAATTAGAACATCAGTGAAGATATAAATACCCAATATGGCGACCATTACTTTATGCACTTTGAAAAAGACTTTATTTTAGTCGAAACGCGTTAGTGTTATTCTTTTTATGCACTTTATAGATGTCTTTGCACATATAGTGCTGCTATTTTGTCTTATGCACTTTATATATGTCCCTGAATATTATTAAATTTCGAAAAGTATCCCCACTCTGTTTTGGAATTTTTATATCTCCTGTATCCTGATCCAAGTGGAGAATCCTGAAGGCGTGGTGGAGTTTAATACACCAGGGAATTACCAAAGAGCAACTATAGTCAGAGCCTACTATATGTGGCTCTGCAAAGTGTGAGTGAAAAATCCACATTTATTTACTATATTATTTGGAAAAACAGTATTATACTATGTTTGGATCTTTTTGTATATAGGTTACATCTGAAGGACTGACCAGTGTCTCTAAGTATACCATATACATTTGTATTTGCACTCCTCTATCTCTATCTTTTACTTGTATGTTATCTGTGTTTTTTAAGTGGTTTTAAAACACTGTGGAGTTGCACTATTACTTCTACTACCACCCCCACACTTTGTGTGTTTTGCACGCTATTATGTAAAATTTGTTTTATATTGTATTATTAACCACTTTTAGGTGGTGGTGGTTGGAAAGGATGGCTATCTTTGAAAATAGAGCTAAATGGTATCATATGGTAAATGAAAAATTTGATAAACAAGATGAGATACCACATGATGAATTTTATATAAGTGATAATCTTGATGAAATGTGTAATGTATTAGAAAAATTGCTCATTAGAGAACTAAAGATTAAATGGGAAATATATACGATAGGGAGATATCTAAAGGAAGGAATCTCACCACGAGGCCTAAGGTTTACAAAATACCCTATATTTGATCAGGGAGACCTAAGGTTTATGGGTATTTGGGAGGGAGCTTTGGAATCCTTTTCTAATACCATGATGCAAATTATTATTGACCAAAGGAATATTAATTTGGAAGAATTAGATAAGAAAATCAAAATTATTCAGAATAAATTAGAACCGTTTATAGGTACTGAAGATTTTTTATCATTAACTAACACAATTAGTATGAAATTGGAGAAATTGGAAAAATCATTAATTTCAACTAAAAAGAGCAAATTCCAGAGAGATCATAATGATTATGCAACTAATAACATTAGAAAAAAACCTAGAACGAACATGAAATTTGAGAAAAGATATACAAATAGGACAAATCAAAAAAATGATCATCAAAAAAATGATAAAGTGAACCCACCCAGAAAAGAACCTATCCCATATAAAAATAGGAACGAATCGAATGATTGGGTAGAGGTAAGAAAGAAAAGATACCCACAGAAGGTAGAAAGTAGGAAAATAAATGAAAGGTTCAATAGAAAAGAACAAGAACAGTATAGGACTCCACTACCACAAAAAAGATCAATCTCGACTTATAATAGATATGAAACATTAAAAAGAAATGATAATGGAGACCATGACCTTTTTTTAGAGAGAGGCCAGAAGACACAAAGATTTAAAAGTCCAGTTC